ATGTGCAGGAGCCTTAATATGGTGGAAAGGGCATTGCAACAGAAAAGCTGAATACATTGTGCACGTGTATAGAACCTTGGAGGTGAAAAAGCTTAATTTTAATGAGTAGGGAAGTGTTGCAAGTGCATATATACGTATATTTAGGCTTGTTTGTCTTGCTAGCTGTATATCTGTCTCAGGGAATTAGAGATTGCAGTGGTGGGATTGTTTAGAAGACTGATAAATCTGGCTGTCTTTAAAATTTTATTTAAGCTTTACTAGACTGATATTCATTAACATTTCATGCTAATGGCTCATTCTTAATCATTATTAATCACTATCACAGCATATTCAAAGCAGTTATTTATTAATAATCGTATCCTAAATTAGCTGTGAATGTACAATACGCTGCCGTTGTCGCAGGATGTCACGGTCTGGGTCCCCAAGGGTTGTAGTGATGAGGCTTAAGAGCTTTTCAGTGGGGGAAGCCAGAACTGATTCTGGGTCATTTTTCTCTTCCCTCCTCCAAATCTGACTCCTTTGTTTAAAAGATTATTCTGTCATAGTCCACCGTTGCACTATATCACTGTGTACTGTGCAGCACTGAGGGTTATTACTTCCCTGTACTGAGGCAAGTGCCATATCCTATTGCTTGACCATTTCTTCCCTGTTGCTTTAGCAGCTGCTTCTTTCTTCCAATAGCAATCCAGTAATGAATAACTAGGAGCCAGAATAGCAAAAGGAAAGCAAAATATCTGTAGGCAAGAGGAAGATTTTCTTGATATGAAGATTGCAACCATCCAAGAGAATTATCTTACATGGGCAACATGTAGAGTTTCTGAAATATCAGCTGAAATATCTGTTCCAAAAAGTAGCAGAAGGTTTACAGCAATATAAATGAGACAGCACATAAGTAGTATTGTTTTGCTTTGGAGTATTATTTCTTGGATTTAAGATAAAACAGGTATAGTCTCTAAACTAGATGAAATATTGCTTCAATTTTGAGCAAGAGTAATGATCTGGATATGGAGGAGAGGGAAGCAAAATGTCTCCATATAAATTTGCTGAAAGTACTGTATTCCCATATTGTAAATACCAGTTTCCATTTCTGCATTCTGAAATAACGGAGATATGGAACTAAAAGTTTCATAAGTACATTTTTACCAAGTTTTGGTGTGGCCATATTAATGTTGTGTGACTACAGAATATTTAAGAAACTGAAAGAAAAAGAATGGTTTGGGCAATTCCACATCTCTTTACCTGACTTTACTGGTACGAAATTTAATGGAGGAAAGAATAGTCAAATGCGGAGGTTAATGAGAGTAGCCCAAAATGAAAATAAATTTATTTATAGTACACTAATCTGCTGGTTTTGACAATTTTTTCTTTTTTTTTTTTGTGACTCATGAAATCTGTGTTGACTACAGGTAAGAATATCAAACCGTATCTAGGATTTGATATTATGGAAAACAGGAGACTATTCCTTAGAATAAAAAGCAGGAGAAATATCAAGTGCTGTCTAAAAGGAATATTGCAAAAAAATAAATAAATTGTGGTATTGCACCAATGAGCATATCTGACAAAAGTTAGACAGCTTTGCCAGCCAAGAGGGGGATTGGATTGTCATCACTGTCATCAATGATCCTGAGGAAGGAGAGTAACAGAAATGAAAATCCATAGATGAAGTACAAGTATCATGCGTCCTGATGCTGTAATAAGAGCTTCGGTCAAGAGAAGAAAGTTATTTTATCGTAAGATAATCAAATAAGGTATTTCCAGTAAAACTGTAGAAATAGTAACGTAAACATTAAAAGGGCTAGTGAGTCCTCACCTGAAATGCTGTGCAAAAAGGTTTTAAAGCAGAAGTGGGTGAAGAGGCTTCTGGAATAATCATGGTATCGGAAAACCTGAATCAAGAGAAAAACCTTTAAGAACAAAGTTGTTTAAACCATGAAATGCAGAAGTTGAAGAAATGTAATTATTGCCTATAAAAATCTCAGGACCCTTTTTGAAAGAAGGGTCTGGGAGTTCAGAGGGTGCAAGTGAGAGAGTGTGCAGGTATATATTCATTGTATTGAACAGATAACTTGGGCTTTTAGGCTCACTAACACTGAAAACCTCAGTCTTTGTTTTCAAGACATCACATAAATTGCTTACTTTAATTTAGCTTGGATTTGTATCTGAATTCTCCTAGAATTAGAGGTCAAAGTTAGGGATTTTTATCCTCTTTTGCTGTTCTTCTATGTGCTTTTAGATTTTATACCATGTCTTGCAGAGGTGCACTGAGGAAGGTCAGTGAGTATTTAATATGTTTTTGTTGAGGAACTGCTTATATTTACAGATTTTATTTTTTTCCTCTGTTTTCACTAAATTGGAAGTTGCAAAGACAATAGCACCAAACTAGGACCAGCATATTGTGAGCTAGCTTCTGCTTGAAGCTACCAACAGAAATATAGTCTTAAAGTAAAATATATCTAATAGTTATGCACTGCTGAAATCAAAGGAATGCTGAATTTTTACACTGGGGAATAATTTAAGACCACAACAGGAAAAAACCCCGTCAAAACAAGGTAGAGATGTAAAGATTCTTGATCAACTACTTAACTGCTCAGTGGCAAAAGAACAGAAGATTTTTGGTGGGCTGGGGCTTTTTAGTTGTTTTTTTAAAAAAAAAAAAAAAAAAATGTACTTGCTGAGTCTCATTATTCTGACATTTTGTAAGAATGTCACTTTTTACAGTGTGAACTCTTAATGCAAGTCAAGCTATACTGTGAAGTCCTATCAATAGCTGCATCAAACACAAGGTATTCTGTGTTTCTTAGCACCTTTCTAAATAAATCAGTGTTTTAAAACTGAGTGTGCTCTCCCTCAAAGGCTTCTTGTGTCAGCATGACTTTCTAGTAAGATCAGGTCTGCTTCTGGAACCTGTGAAGTCTGAATTATAATATCAATCATAGGATGGTTTGGGTTGGAAAGGACCTTAAGATAAACTGCTTCCAACCCCTCATGACAGGTTGGATCAGTAGATGATCTTCCAACCTGCCATGGACAGGACACCTCCCACTAGACCAGGTTGCTGAAAGTCCTGTCCAGCCTGGCCTTGAACACGGCCAGAGATGGAACATTTACCACTTCTTGACACAAACCTGTTCCAGTGCCTCACCATCCTCACAGTAAAGGATTTCTCCCTTTCATCTAACCTGAACTTACCCTGTTTCAATTTGAACCCATTGCCCCTTGTCCTATCACTCACTCAGGCTGAACAGCCCCTATTTTTCTCAGCCTGTTTTCATACAAGAGGTGCTCCAGTGTCCTGATCATCCTTGTGGCCCTCCTCTGGACTTGTTCCAACAGTTCCATGTCCTTTTGATGTTGAGGACACCAGATCTGCACACAATACTCCAAGTGAGGTCTCCCGAGAGCAGAGTAAAGGGGCCAGATCACCTCCTTTGACCTGCTGGTCACGCTCCTTTTGATGCAGCCCAGGATACGGTTGGCTTTCTGGGCTGTGAGCGCACACTGAAGCCGGCTCATGTTCATTTTCTCATCGACCAACACCCCCAAGTCCTCTGCAGGGTTGCTCTGAATCTCTTCTCTGCCCAGCCTCTCTCTGTAAACCTACATTTATATTATGGTGGTTTTTTTCTTTTTTTTTTTTGTGGGAAAGTTGATTGTTGTCCAGTTGTGGGTTTTTGCATTGTAGGGATTTTTGTCTTTTTTTTTTTTTTTTAATTTTGTGTTAAGATTTTAACAGGTTGCCATTGATCATTTTATAGTTCTGTTAACCTTTCTGCTGTGAGTGCAACTGTAGTTGCTATGCAACATTTTACTCTAGCCCTCTAGGGACTGTGTCATCTTTTGAGAGAAAGATGTATTCAGTGTGAGTATCTTATATTTTCCATCACATAAGTCTAGTCGGTGGATGAAATCATGGGACCATGTCAGATCCTAGGAACATTATAGGACCACAGACTTTCTCCAGGGATTTTTTTAGATTAAGGTAGCTTTACATTTATAGATACTGCATATTATGAATGGAGTAAATAATGATTAAAAAAAAAAAAATCAGTTCACTAAACAGAGTATGTTCTTATCTATATGTATTTTTCCTATAAAATGTATTTAAATGTTAAGTTTACTTTATAAACAGTTAGGAAATAAATCTTAACTGATTTCAATAATATTAATCCAAGATAGAATACATTCTAATAGGTCTTATTCTCAGTTTGCCCTTCTGGTCTTGGTATTCTAATCAATTTTTCAATAAAGCATTCAACTTCCATGTGTTACCTTAAATGGATGGAAGTTGTATTTCTCCTTTTCTGGTAAAGAAAATTTGCACTTTTTCTACATCCTTCTGTAAATCCCTGATGTTTCATCTTTACTCTTTTCTTTTTCCTAAGCCCCTATTTTATTCTGACACACCCTCTCAAGTGCTTGCACTTCCGTCCAGCTTGGCAAGCACTTTTGCTCTGACAAATTCTGTTTGTTTTTTACCAAGCATTGTGCTTTTAAACTATGGAATTGAATCTTGGGTGTCATGCGTAGGTGTTTAGTAGCCTTATTTTGTCTGTGTTTTGAGGGTCTCACTTTCCTCATGATCTTCCATACAAATGTTCCCATTTTCTCCTTTCGCACAGTGAGACTGAAGAAAGCTTTATGGCTTTTGGTGTAGCTTCAGGACTTGTCCTTTGGTTAATCAGAAGAAGTGGACTGGCATATGTATGTCTGAAGTTATTTAAAACAGATTGTTAATTGCAGTGCAAAAACTTAGGCATAAATATAAAACAAAATACAGTGTTCAAAGAGCGTACATCTAATTAGAATAAGACAACTGCCTAAGTGAGGGGAACTAAACCTTGTGGAGTTACCCCCTCATCTTGTATTGTAATTCGTTTGGTGTGCTTTTACTTCAGAATTAAAAACGTAGTATGCTGATTTGGGTAAGGTTTTAACTCATGTATTCTACAAACAATGTGTTGTCTTTAAGTTGTTAACAGAATGAATGTTCTGTATTTTAGTCTCAGCAGAAAACCTGGAGAAGAGCCTGAAGCATATGGAGAGGCAACTCCAGCAGCTTGAGAAGGATTTGAAGACTTTTCCAGTTCCTGAAGATAAGCACGATAAGTTTGTAGCAAAAATGTCAATATCCTTTGGAGTATTCTTTTTAAAATCCAAAACAAAACCCACAGCTAAACAAAACCACAAAAAAAAACCCACAACAAAACAACTGTCCTGGGTTCAGCAGTGCAGGAGTAATTTAATTGCATTACCTTAAAATTTAATTTTCTTTGCATCACTTCTGTCTGTTCTGTAGTATTTATTTTTGAAAAATAGAACTGTCTTTTTCCTCTCAAAAATTAAATACATGAGCAATCCAACTAAAGATTCATTTAAAGTGGATAGAATGAAGAGAAAAATGCTTACTGTTGGCTTTTACACTGTGTGTAAGTTTCTTAGGAAAAAGTAGTTACAATACCAATGAAAAGCATTTTAGTGTTAAACAACTTTTTTTCATGGAAATACTGTAAAGATGTCTATGACCCTGTGTTCATTTGTTTGGTAGTATATGCATCACCACTGTGAATGTTGTACATGAAGCTACAGAACCAAAACATTTATTTCAGAAATGAGATTTACAGCACTTGAAAACTGGTTTCTAGTTTTATTTTTGCCAAATTTCCTTTTCTCACTATTTATTCCAAATCCTGTACCCAACTTCACTGCCTGTCTCATAAGAAAGCTTTGTGACATGAAGGTACTTAATTAAAGCAGAGGGAAAAAAAAAAAAATCACTTAAACCTTCCTACCAGATGATGGTCATACATGCTTGGCACTGAGACTAAGCTGGAAGCAGAAATATCGGCAGATAGACAGGTTGAAATTCCCTCTGCAGGCATGGTTAGGTTATTACCTAGCTGGAAGACTACTTTGCTGTGTTCAAAGACAGGGGGACTCAGGAGACAGTCCTTTTGATTAATCTCACACTATTGAATAAAAGATGGCAAGTATCCCCGAGGCCAAGTGGATATACTGGTTCTTGCTGCATTAGGGCCACTCTCCTCTTCAGTAGACTTGCTGCAACCAAAGCATTTACAGCTTCGCTTTGCGCCTTCTCTGGACAGTGTGGGTTATCTGTAATCATTCAGTGTCACTACTGATTTTTTTCAAAGGTCAGGTATGTTGTTGGTGAAGTTGTCCTCTGTTTTGTTGCTGGCTTTTTTTTTTTTTTTTCCAGCTCAGTGCGTTTTTGAGAGTTGCAACCTAATAGCATGGTGTCTCTGTAGTATGAAATGTAAGTTCTGTCCATGAAGAAACCAACAGCCTAATGGAAGAGCTAGCAAAAGGGTCCCGAAAGCAAGAGGTAAACTACTCCTAAGAAGTTACAGTAAAATATATCTGTGATAGCTTTCTCAGAAATATTGCTAGTAGTGTGTCTGGGCTGGATGGCCTGACGCAAAGAGTTGTGGTCAATGGCTCAATGTCCAGCTGCAGACCAGTAACAAGTAGGGTCCCTCAGGAATTTGTGTTGGGACCGGTCTTGTTTAACATCTTTGTCGGTGACATGGACAGTGGGATTGAGTGCGCCCTCAGCAAGTTTGCCGATGACACCAAGCTGTGTAGTTTGGTTGATACGCTGGAGGGAAGGAATGCCATCCAGAGGGACCTGGACACGCTTGTGAGGTGGGCTGGTGCCAGCCTCAGGAAGTTTAACCATGCCAAGTGCAAGGTCCTACACCTGGGTCGGAGCAATCCCAGGCACAGCTACAGGCTGGGCAGAGAAGAAATTCAGAGCAGCCCTGCAGAGAAGGACTTGGGGGTGTTGGTCGATGAGAAAATGAACATGACCTGGCATCACTGTGTGCTTGCAGCCCAGAAAGCCAACCATATCCTGGGCTGCATCAAAAGGAGCGTGACCAGCAGGTCAAAGGAGGTGATCCGGCCCCTCTACTCTGTTCTCGGGAGACCTCACTTGGGATTAATGTGTGCAGTTCTGGTGTCCTCAACATCAAAAGGACATGGAGCTGTTGGAACAAGTCCAGAGAAGGGCCACAAGGATGATCAGGGGACTGCAACACCTCCCATATGAAGGTAGGCTGAGAAAGTTGGAGCCTGGAGAAGAGAAGGCTGTGTCAAGACCTCGTAGCAGCCTTCCAGTATCTGAAGGGGGCCTATAGGGATGCTGGGGAGGGACTCTTCACTAGGGACTGTAGTGACAGGACAAGGCTTAACAGGTTAAAACTTAGGGGAAGTTTTGACTGGATATAAGGAAGAAGTTCTTTACTGTGAGGGTGGTGAGGCACTGGAATGGGCTGCCCAGGGAAGTTGTGAATGCTCCATCCCTGGCAGTGTTCAAGGCCAGGCTGGACAGAGCCTTGTGTGACATGGTTTAGTGTGAGATGTCTCTGCCCATGGCAGTGGGGTTGGAGCTAGATGATCTGAAGGTCCTTTCCAGCCCTAACTATTCTATGATTCTACATTAGGAATAGAAAGCATTTATTAAGAAATCTAACCTATGAAAAAGGACAAACTCTTCTTAATCTGTTAGAATAGAACTGAATAGACTATTTCAGTTGGAAGGGACCTACAATGATCATCTAACCCAAAATGGTCATGATGCTGGCAGTTGAAATACCTTACAACCTTTTGAATTTTTATAATGAGGACTAGGGTTTGATAATTTTGTGTGTCTTTGGAGATGTGGTTATAAAACTTCCACACCTATAAAATAAATAGGGAAGACACTACCAAAATTCAGTTGAGAATGAGCAAACAATGCCCTAAAAAAATCAATGTCACTTAAGGAAAATTAACTTCGCACAGGAAAATTAAGTTGATGAATAGATATGTACTTCTATGCTAATATCAAACATCTACACATAAAAAAAAAATATGTAGGATGCTTTATTTTCCTTTGTGTTACGGACATTGAGCATTCCTGAAAGTGGATAGCAGAAACTGAGTGGAATACTGTGATAAAATGTTATGAATTGTATTTAAGACAGAGGAAGTCGCAGTTACAGAGAAATAGTGTGAAAAGTTAAAATGTAATGCAAATAAGATAAATAGGTGGACCTTGTCAATATATAGAGTAACTTTACCAGGGGTTAAAATTCCATCCCCTTTTATGAAGAAAAGTAGAGCAGTTTACTGATCACTTATAAAGGATAGTGATCATTTTAGGAAACACAAAGGAGATCTGCATATCATCTTTTTCAGGCATCTCAAAAGCTATAATCCTGCCAGATAAGATGAAGGTTGTTAATGTGTACCAAGGAGATAAGCCATAGCCATAAATCTAAATTTGTTCTTTGCATCAGTTTTCTCTTGGGGGAGTTTTGGTCGACCCCACTGCAATATTTTGAATGAAAGGATGATTTCAAATGAAGGAATCAGTAGGAAAAAAAAGCAAAAAAAGTAACAAATCCCCAGGAGTAATCAGTGGTCACAAAAGACTTGAAAAGATCTTAAAATTAGATCACATATAAACCTATCTTACTGCATAATCTTGCATGAGCTAAGTTAGCCCAAGACACCAGAGGAATGAAAGCTGAAAAGAAACACTGAGCTTTCTTAAAAGGGCTGCAACAAGGATCTGCAAATCTGGCATCTCTACCAAGAAAGCTGATGAAGACTTAATAGAAACAAAACCAACATGTATATATAGGAGATATAATATGGTTGGGGAGAGTCAGCAGGGGTTTTGTAAAGGGAAACCATACCTTGCAGATCTATTAAGGCATGCAGATAACAGTCAGTAGAATTTTACTGAATTTCCACATGCCTTTCAACATGGTGTATTAAAATACTTCCAAAGAAAGAAATTTCTTAGTTTAAAAGTGGAATGATTAATTTTTTTGGATTAGTATCTTCAAACAAACAAACAACAAACACCTCATTTCAAAAAGGAGATATTGGCAGATGCTGACAAAGAAGGAAGTGAATTTCAATGATTATAGAGTAATAGATCTGGACATTAGAATAAATAAGTACAACTGCAGTTAAAAGCAAGCAGAAGACATAAGAAAGTTGTTGTAAAAATCAGTTATGCTCACATCTTGAGTGCTTCCATCGCCCCATCTCAAAAATTATACTGCATACATACTGATGTGACAAAGAAGAGCGACAATGATCAGTAGTAGGCAATAATTTCTGCATAAGGAATATTTTAATAGATTAGGACTGTGAGGGTGGAAAATCAAAAAAGTTAGGAAAATACAGTAAAAATACTTGAAACTCTTTATCCCATACAGGGCAAAAGTTAGGAGCATAATCACTGTGCATTATAAATAACCGGGGTTCATCCCATGTAAAATACAGTCTGGCAGTTAAAACATACTAATAGAAATATTTTCTTACACAACAGACAAACTGCAGCATTTACTTTTGGGATGTTGTAGAGACTGAAAATGTAAATTAATTTCATATAAGGCTTACATAGTTAGCGAAAGATAGTGCATCTGGATCTATTAATGGCAGTAGTCCAGAGGTAGCTTTAGCTCAGAAAAACCACTAACCAGCAGACGTTTAGAAACTAAATACTACGCCAGGTGAATTATCACGCTATACCTGCCAAGTTTCCTTCTTGTTTTCCCTAATCATTGGGCATACTGACTGCTGCCAGAAGCAGTTGAGATGGATATTTGGTCTTACTCAGCATATATCAGTCAGGTAAAACCAGCCATAATATGTATTTCATTGTATTAGACTCTTAAAATAAAGTATTTTGAATAGTAAATATTATGAACAGGGATAATTTGCCCTCACCTACTACCTCTCCCAGCAGACAGGCAGTAATTTCCAAACAGTAGAGTTGTATATAGGTTCTAGTAATGTCTGTGAACACACTAATTAAAGAAGCTCACTTTTAGAAAAACAGGAACTTCAATAAATTACAAAGCAAAAATGGTTTGATGTAAAGGTTAGATAATCCTGCACAGCATGATGAAGCCTGGACCTGTCTTTACTTTTGTTCCTGTGACAAGGAAAGCTGAATGATGCTGATGTCTTGAAAAGCATGCAGCTCATAAGAAAAAAGCCAGCAGGAAATCTGAAAAAAGAAGGATGATTCTTTGTTGGAAATAATTTTTCATCCTGAGTACAATTAGGCTGTATGGACAAGCAGGCTGTTACATCCTGTCGCTA